GTATGACATCATCTTCAACATTGTCTCTTCACTTCTTTATACAAGCTATCATTTTTGTGTGTGTTATAATTTTAAGAATTATTTCATTTAACTTTATTTATTTATTTATTTGAAAGTGACAAAACAGAGACAGAGCAAAAGAGAGAGAGGGAAAGTGAGAAAGCAAGCCGCCAGGTCCAGGACTGAAACCATGGTGGGCCATGTGGGAGTCTAGCGCCCTTAACCACCACACCACCTGCCAGTCCCACAAGTTATCCTTTTCTAAACTGATTTCTTTAGCACACTGTCCCTAAAAACTTTTCATAAAGCATCAATGATTTTACCTTTCTTCAAAGTTTCCAAGCTTCACCCTAAATTTGATAATGTTCTTTCTTAAATTTTAGCACAGTTCGAGTGATAGGAGATCTTTCCAAACTAATGTCTTATCCTTCTTAGTGCCTCAAACTATATTCTGTTCAGACATAGTATAACAAGTGAGTACAAGTTTCTTTTGGTTCAATAACTTTTGAAATCAATGCAAAGTTTTTTCAAAATATAAATTTTCTATGAACTTCTGGAAGATCCCCCTTGTATATTTTGGATATTAATCTGTTATTGGATATATTGTTTGCAAATATTTTCTCCCATCCCATGGATAGCCTTTTCACTCTGAGGACTGTTTCTTTTACTGTACAGAAGTTTTGATTTTATGTAGTCCCACGTGACTAATTTTGCTTTTGTTGCCTGTGTTTTTGGTGTCATATCTGTGAAGTCACTACCAAGACCAATATACTAAAGGTTTCCCCTTATGAGAGTAATTCACACCACATTGTATGTGTATCCTTTTATCTTTACTGGTGTGCTAACTTATACACCCACCAGCAGTACATTATGCTTTTCTTTGCTCTACATCCTTGATAACATTGAGATTTAAAGATTTTAATCAATCTGATAGGTGTTTACTTTAAAAATAATGATTACTCTGGCTTTGCAATAAAGAGAATATATTGGGCTATTGGAAAAGTCATGACATATTTTTCTAGGCAAAAATGCATCGTGACTTTTCTGATGACCCAATACTACAAAAAGGCAAAGAGTGAAAGCAGGAAAGATAGTAATCATCATAATCATCAAAGAAATGCAAATCTCTTTTCTTTGGATATTAGCAACTTTAAAAAAAATTTTTTTGTATGTTTTTGTTTTTTATTTACTTTATATTATTATTCATACATTACATTGCTATACATCATTTAGATTATGAAGAAACTTTACCCAGCATGATATACACCTCAGTCCAGCCCAGTTGACACTACCATATACATCTTCGTCAACAGACAGTAAATCTTATCTGTGTACAAGTGTCTTACCTCTCCATTTCCCCCCACAAATTTCCTACG